TTATGACAAAAATAAATGGTTCATTTACTCACAATATTTTTGTACAAAACGACCCCAAACTTTTAACTTCTTTTCTGCAGTTTCTAATGCTATCTTAGCGAGTTCATATTCTCTAAATTCTCTCTTTAAATCTTCTTGTTCCCATTGGTCTAGTTCGAATGGAGAATCTCTATAACCATAACATATCTCACGTTCATGTTCTAATTGTTTTTCGCACATTTTTCTAACTTCTTCTTCAAACAAATGTTTAACATTCTCTACTGTATCTTCGAGTTCTTCTTCATCTAACTTCTCATGAACTTTCTTGTCTATGGAATCCATAATATCTTTGACATAAAATGCATACTTTACAGAGCACCATTCAGCAACAAAATGAACGAGGTCAGGATGTATGTAAATACCTTTGAATTCATTTATAACACCCTTTGTAAGCTCATAAAATGCTTGTTTTGAGGTCGAGCCACTTTTGGCTCCACCGTATTCTTTCAACCAAAACTCAAGAATTTCCTGCATTTTAGCACTATTGAGAAATCTGTTTAAATGGTTTAACTTTCCTACTTCTCTTGCCATCTTTGTTGCATTAATGTAACCATCCTTGTCTCTACGTAAGACTTCAATACCGTTATAAGTGCCTTTTGTGAATGTTTCGCCATTAGATTTGTTCGTGAATGTTTTTGCTTCGACTGACATTTCTGTTCTTACATACAAAATAAAAAAATAAAAATAATTTTAAAACTAACTTTATTTTTGGACTGCATCAAATTTCCTGGACTGTTGTCAAAATGTCATGTTGTCAGTAATTTTAAGAGAAGTTAATTAACCTGGTGACATGGTGACGTGGTGACACTATCAGTTCTTCAAAAATAATTCATAAATGCCTTCCTCCTTTCGTACCTGTTGTCTAAATGTCATGTTGTTCGCTCTTTTGGAGCTCAGGACTTTAAGCAGCTCTGAACCATGCGAATACAGTCATAAATGGTGGCATATAATCTTCACCCGAACCTGTTGGATTTGTTGTGAAAGTGTGTGAATGATTTCCTCCTGATTCAGTTGGTCGAAAAGTTTTTTTGCTGAATTGTTATAAGATGGAGATAAAACGTCATAGCCAGCTTTATAGTCTGAGTTGTATAATGGGTGGTCTCTTAATGAGTGTATATGGTCGCCAGAAAAGTTTGTCGTTCCTGTATGAGTGTGCGCAGGTAAGTTTGCTTCTTTAATTTTCTTTGAGCCTCCTGTTTGCTTTGAAGAGTTAGCACAGTATAAGAATTTGTTTACAATCTGTTCCCAAGTACCGAAACCCAGAACTGTTGCGGGATTTGTTGAATTCATTGATGTATATATTGAACCAATGGGGTAAATCATCTCAAGAATTGTATTTAATCCATTATGAATATTGAATTTATTATATAATATTGAATTTGGGTGAGTATTTAAAACTGGTCTTGTTATCAATATTAACGTATTATTTTTGAAAATTGCTTTTCTAACATCTTGAAATTTTGTGATTTCAGACCAGTTTCTTCCATCACTACTGATATTTACTAAATCACCACATCCTAAAGCAATGAAATACCCATCAATATAAAATAAATTTGTAAATCTATAATTTCGAGTAAGTTTTGGAGTGAATGAATAAACCAATTCCCAATTTGATAAATCCTGTGATAAATAAATATGTCTGTTTTATAACTTACAGGATATGAATAGACCATTCCACCTGAAACGAGAACACAAACATTTGATCCATAACATAAAGCTTCAATGTCTCCATCAGCTTGAAAAATTTGTTCAAATTGACCTTGTGGTATTGAAGATGATCTATAAATTTTATCATTTTGTAGGATAAAATACATGTTGTTAATGTAATACCACTTACTTGTATAATCAATTTCCAAATCTGATGACATCATACTAAACATATAATAATATCCCATCCTCACTAATGAAAATTTGATTGACTTCATAAATTAGTACCCATTTATTATTAACGCATCTAATATGATTATTTGGATATTTAAATTTAGCATCTTGATTTAAATTACATTTGAACCATTGGATACAATCGAATGAATAACAAGGGCAAAAATCATCTCCAACTGTTATCATTCCCATAAATTTACCGTTATTATATTCAACATATAAAATTCTTGGATTAATGATTGGCTTTCGTGTATCAGGATTCCAAACAGATGGAGTAAATGATTCATAGTTTTTAAAATCATTTGTTTTAAAATAATAAAGCACTCCAGCTGTATAAAATAAATACATGGTCACTCCATCGAAACATATCCATTCAAAAGAATCTATATCAAAGGTTTTATCTGATGATTTCATAAAATTTAAAAATGGTGGAGTAAAATAGACCTCTGATTGTTTTATTTCTTCATTAACAAATGATATATCAGCTTTCTTTGCTAACTCAGTATTAATGAATGAAATAACTTTTTCCTTATCTGCTTTCTTCTCTAACTCATCATTAACATAAGTTTTATCTGCTTTAAGGTCTAAACATCCTGAAACCCATTCTGTATCAGCTTTAACTTTAAAAGTCTCCAATGTCCATTCATGATACCATTCAACCTTTTCTTTAATTTCATTATCTTTATCATCAACATAAACCAAAATTGCCTTCTTATTTAATTCAGTATTAACGTATTCCTTATCCACCTTCTTCATTAACTCACTATCCACATATTCCTTATCCACCTTCTTCATTATGTTGTTTAGGAAACCTTCTATGAATTCCTCATTTAAATTAAATCTTCCAATCTTCAAAACTTTAGGAAATGCATTTAATGCGTAATATCTCTGTTCTTCTGGTGGAATTGATGTTATATCATCCGTTATTCCTTTAATTTTTGAATTCATAAATAAAATTTCTTTTATATTTGATATCACTGCACCACCTTTGCAAACGAATTCGAAATGGTCATTTTTCAATACTATCTCCAAATCTCCATATTTCAACCTTTGCGTTTGTTCTGCCGTCTTTGAATTATATGCATATGTGGCGTATGTAATGGTCTGAAGGACCTGGGCGCTTTGCGCCTTAAGTTGCTGTTGTTTAATCATTTATTACGATTTAAAAATAAATATTTAATCCGTTATCTCATCAGCTATTTTCTCTATTTGAAATTGCCATAATATTTCATTCATAAATTCTAAATCACAATCAAATAGGTCAGTTATTCTAAATTTAATATTTGATAAATCTTTTGAATGAAGAATAAATGAATTCCCGGATAATTGAAACGGATATGATAAAGAAAATGTGTTTAAGTTGATGGATAAAATGTTTTGTATTGATGGGTAAGAGTTAGGGTCTAATGTTTGATGTGAAAATCTCATTGGGGTATTAACTTTATCACATTTGATTAAAATGAAATTGGAACCAGTGTCAGAATACAAAACATCCCCAACATCTTTTTCAAAATTTAATATCCCCAACAATGAACGAAGATGAGGAGTACAAAATTTAATTTTCAGCGGAAATTTAATAAGGTTATTTATTTCATCAAGTTCAAAAAGTTTATCAGGTTTTGATTTAAAATTTTCTTCATACCATACGATAAATGATTCATTTAAATAACTTAAAATCATGTTAATATCCCATTTCGCTATCACATTATTTATATACATATCATACGTTTTTTCATGGTCATCTTTAATAAATGATATATAATCTGAAGGGTCTAAAAGAATGGGATTAAATTTACCACTCACAGAAACGAGAGTAACATTATAAATTCCGCTAACTGTTAAATTTAATTCACAGTTATTATTCGAAATAATATTGATAATTGACATTTTTATTACGATTAAAAATATGGTAAAGCGTTATTTTCCAGTGATAAATAAAACTAAATAAGATTACCTCAAGAATTCATAAATTCAACGAATAAGAAATTCATTCATGTTATAAATTTTAGTGTTTTCAGAAAATATGAGTCAGTGTCATATTCATCAACAGGTTATATTTCACTTCATTCAAATTTAGTTCAATCAAACCCATATAATGACCATTTCATAAGATTTTCAGATGGTATTAAAAATGTAATTGATAGATTAAAATATGAACAGATTGACAATATCGAATTTTTGGAATTTTGGTTTAAATATCCCGATGGAAAAAAGATTGAAGTTAAAGATAAAGCTGATACTATAACAAAAACAATTACAATGACCGATCCGGATAGTGGGGAACAAAAAGAAATAAAACAAACGATAGAAACTGGTGAAAGGTCAATTATTATTGATTATGATTCAAAGGATTATTATTCGATAATGTTAATGCTTGAATATTAAATAGCCTTAACAAAGAATTTTTCAAGTGATATTTTATATTCATCAACTATTTTATTATAAATATCATTATATGTTAAATGAAGTTCAGTTGTTGTTCCGTTCTTTGATATCTTAATTGTGCTAATATCCTTTATAGGATTTATTTTTGCAACTGTTCCACAGCATGAAACCTCATCATCTATGAAAAATTGAATCTTAACGTCTGAATCTTGAACATCACAAAGAATGGCGATAATGTGAATTAATGATTCATAAGGTAAAATAATTAAACCGGATTGGTCAATTAAATTTATTATTGAATCATAATTATTAATTATTATATCACGGTAAATTTTCATTAATTCAGAATTAATGTCTATTTTATATGGGTTCTCGATGTTTGATGAAAGAGGTGGGGGTATGTTGGATAAGTGGGAATTTCAACAGGTTCTTTACCGGGTTCAGATAAAATGATTGGGTCTCCATCTTCTTTATTTTGCTCCTCCTCCTTTTTCGGTAAGTCACGAGTTAATAAATTTGGTTGAGTTGCTGACCTTGTTAATTCGGGCTAACATTAACTTTAACATTTTGAATAATTCGTGATTTATCATCATTTACGTTATAACCAACCGTAATCTCTGCTTTTGCGTTAGTGTTCTTTTGACTAGTGAAACGTCTTCTCATTTATAATCGAATAAAAAAATATATTTAAACTTTTATTTTGCTGGAAGTTTTGAATCTATTATTCCCTGTATTTGTTCTTGAAGTTGATTTTTAGCTGGTTCATTGTAATTAATAGACCTAATATATTCATTAATTGCATTCTTATAATCATCTGATTTCTCAAATTTTCTTTTATCTGATTCCTTAACTAAATCATAAGTTAAACCTCGTTGCTGATATAATGGTTTCTTAATTAAATCTTTGAATGCTTGAGATAAAGCACCTGATGCAATTCTTGCTACTATAATTGGTTGGAATTGATGTTTAAGTTCATCTTTAACATTTGCGAAAACTGGATCGAATAAAGCAACTTTAAAGAATTTCTTAGCTGAAATTTCAGGTCTAATATTTGCATATTGACCATCAAACTGGTTAGAATATCGTGGTAATCCATCCGGTCCCTCTTCAATAGCATTTAATTCTTCATTGAAATAAGAATATGGATTATAACGGTATGAATTAATTGGACCATTTTCACCTTCTCCAATGTATTGTTTAACAGCTTTTCCATTTTCATCAAATTGCATAGGATAACGTTCATTATATGCTTTACGTTTAGGATAATCAGTTATAGTTAATTTGTAACCATTTATGACTTTAATATTACCTTGACCATCAGTAACGAAAACTTCATTTATACCATCATGTTTTCCATTTGGACCTGTATGTCTGCTTCGTGTGCTTCCCAATTTGGACCTTGACGTTTGGCATATGCTTGAGCTTCTGGTAATGTTAAAACGTTTCTCATTTGTTTAACATCTTTTTGAAGACCAGCAACAATATGAACTAATTCTTTCATTCCATCAGGAACTTTCATAGTTCTATTATATGCACCCTTTTTGTTTGTTCCTTGTTTTAATGGAACCTGTAGAAGATTTGCTATTTTTGTCATGTTTAATTATAAATAAAAAATAAAATTAATTATAAAAAGTTAATCAATTTAACATCCTTTTTTTAAATATTTTTTTGTTCACCTAATTGCTGATATTGTGTGTAAAGTTCATTAATGCTCATTGGTAAATTCACTTGATAAGCATAACGTTCAACTGTTGACGACTAAACCCACTGAAAATGAAAAGGGTTGATAGATTTGATTTAATGTTGTGCTTAATGCTTTGAAATATTGAACAGCCATAAAGAATGAACACTGAATGTGTCGACATTGAGTTAATAACTGATTAAAATATGATTTCTCATTTGTTATTAGTTTTGATTTCACTGCATCATCTAGAAAAATGAGTGAATGCAAAAATTCTCTATCAAATTTGAATAGAAAGTGTTTCAAATAATTCATCCCGTTGTTTATCAATAATTTTATCATCTAATCCTTGCTTCTTGATTGTATTATATAATTCTTTATACATTAAAAAGTTTTTTAAATAATCTTCTGCTTCTTCTTGTGATAAATAAATAATTGGAATTTTGATTAAATGCTTTAAAGATTCAAATGTATCATCTGAAGGTGAACCTGAACGGTTGATATAAATTAACACATGTGAATAGGGTGAAGTGTTAGCAATAATGATAATTTGTTTTAATATCGTTAATGTTTTACCTTTATTTTGTTTACCAATTGCTGCAGTGATTGAATTTAAGTAACATTCAGAATATGGAATTTTCATTAATTTTTCCTTAGATAGAGCATTTCTATTATCACTCAATGCTTCATTAATCATATCATCTATGTATGTATTATATACTCCTGCTAATTCTTCATAAGGAGTGGATGAATTTAAATCCATTTAATCAAAAATAAATTTATAATTTTAAACATTTCTATTCATCAATATTTCATCATATGAACTTCTATACTGTGGTGGTGTACCTGTTGGATGATATTTCAAACCTTCATCCGGTGTCCATGTCCAATATGTAGTCCTAGTAAACCAAACCTGAGGAGGATTTGTCACCTTTGAACAGTAAGTGTCATTTTCACCCTGAATGATTGGATAAGCTTTCACTTGTACTGTAACTTGTGAGTTGAAAGTTTCTAATCCATCAAAGAATATACCCGCTCCATCACGTTGAACTGGAATAGTGCATAAGAATGAAGTTTGGTCTTTCCATGTTCTAGCTAATGGCGTGCCATCATCTGCATTCAGTGGTCTAGTTAATGAGTCCTCGTATTCTTCTGTGCATTCATTCACTCCATCTAAATCAGAAGCTTGAAGCATACGTGTAAAGAATATGTCACCCACTGTGGTCATCGCTTGATCGGGGAAGTTTCTGGAATCTATAGTGACCTGAAGACCTCGAAGCATTGGATTTTCTAAAACTGTTCTTTGCATTGCATTCTTCGGAAATGCTAACACAACATCTGTAACATTATGAAGAGCGTATGAGAAATCTGAGCTGATACCTTCAGGAGTGATGCAACCTCCATTTAGTGAACGAACGTCAATATGTTGAGCTGGAATCATGAATGGATCTTCCTTACTGAATAAACGTGGTATTGCTTTAACTGATTCTTCAATTAAACCGTATCCTGGTGTAATGCATTTATCCTCTAAAACTTCCATCTTTGTGCATGAAATAATAACGTCATCAACTGTTGCGTCAGCAGATGTAGCGGCTAAGCTTGTAATTAATTTGGCAGGAAGTCCGATTTGTTGGAATTTGCGATCATATTTATAAACATGATTCATAATCTTTTCATAATTTTCATCAGTTATCTTTTCATAAACGTAATTTTGTAAATCAGCAACTCTTAACGGGTCAACCTGACAAAATACTAAAGTATCCCTGAAAACATAATATTTAAGAATGATACACCAAATGATTTAGGATAATCATCGAACGCCTGAAATGCTAACAAATCATTTACCGGAATAATCAATCAAAAGTGACATCAACTTCTTCATTTGCTTTCATGAAAACTTCTGAAGGGTCAATATATTTACCACATACTGAGTTATCATATTTTTGAACATTATTATATAACGAATGAACAAACTTTTTAACTTTCCTTTCTGATTTCGGTTTATATGTTGCAAATGCGAAAGATTCACGGGCGCAATCCATCTGAAGATAACCGGCATCACCTCTTTCGGTTTCTACTTCTAATTGTTTAAAGCTTTGATTTGATGATTTGTAACCAACGAATAAACGCATGCATTTAAAAGCGGCATCACATGTGAAAGCTTTATTTGAAACTAGAGTTGCTTTAAACTTTGCGTTTAATATATGTGTTCACCTAATTGGTTCACATCATGCCGGATTTGTAATTAATGAGTTTGTTTATCATCAAATATGGAGCAATGAGTCATAGCATGAACTTTCAAGTTCTCTATAATAATATCCCCGTCATTCTTTGCGAATATTTCATTTATCTTTCGAATGAATGAAACACATTTCCATTAATCGGTTTAGTGTTTGGCACCAAATAGTTAGTCGTCATTTATTAATAAATAAAAAATCAAAATTAAAAGATGAAAATGAATTTTTAATTTTAATGAAATAATCAACTATGGCTGCAGGTATATTTAAGAAACTGTGGGATAGAGTAAAAAGAGGAGCGAGTAAAGTTTGGGAAACATTGGAAGAAGGGGGCAAATTGGATATTTAAGAATAAAGAAGCAATTAGTGACGTTGCTGAATATCAATAACGCCAAAAGCTGCCCCAATAAGAGAAGTTTTAAATAAAGGAAAAAAGTTTATCAAAGACTACAACCGATACTAAGATAAAAATAATATTTATTTATTTTTCCACTATCTACCTCCTATTTTATTAAGTATTCCTTCAGCAATTCCACCAATTGCGTTACCTGCTTGTGCTCCCATCGCCGGATTACCTGCTTTAGTACCTAATACCCCACCTATGATAGTTCCTGCCGTTTTCGCTACTGGTGCCAAAAAGTTTGCTACAGGTTTAATAATCTTTTTATAAACCCAACCCGCAGCTTTCTTAATTCCATCCCATAATTTTTTAAAGAATCCTGCCGCCATTTCTGATTTAATATTAATTAAAAAAATATATTTCATCACTTATATTCTAATTTTTATTTAATGATAAATGAAACCGATTTTAAAAATAAATGAAACAGAGGAGGAAGAAATAAATGAAAGTGAAAATGTTCAACAAAAAATAAACGTTGTTAAACCAATTACTGAAATAAAAATTTTTTCATCTGTTGAAGAATTTAATGACTATTATGTCAATAATAAAATTATTTGAAGAATTGACAACGTGTAAATTGAATAAAATGTTTAAAGTTGATGGATTCAAAATTTCAAAAATAAAAGGAGTGGTTAGTTTGAAATCTATTCCTCAATCAAGAATCACCTCGTTAATGAAAATAGATGATTTAACAAAAAGAATAGAAGAGATTGAAGAAAGAATGAATCAAATAATTGATTTCATAAATTCAAATAATCATTAGTTTCTTAAAGTTCAATGTTGAACTCATCAAATTCTTCTTCATCATTACCATTACCTTTAGCGAGTTTATTTACTCTTTCAACTTTATCTTTTGATAGTCTTTCGTTTAATTTTTTCTGAAGTTTTTCGTTACCAAGTTCTAAAATTTTACATGGATGATATTTAAACCCGTTAAATTCTTTTTCCTCAGTTTTAATCATTAATCTACAAAGAACTTTAGTGAGGTGGTTTTGTTGTTTAAACCATTTATCCTTAATATTTGTTATAAATTCAATATCCGGAATTAATTCCCAAATTTTTGAATTTTCGATTAATTTACCATCAAATGCAAAAGCAATAGGTTTAATATTAAACTTACCTTTATAAAATAAACTTTGTATGTAATCATCAAAATAAACGTCTACTTGTTTAACCTGTGTGAGAATTGGTGAAAGTTTATCCATTAATTGATTCACAGTCACGAATTTAGAGCTGTTCATTTCATACAAAATAATAAAATAAAATAATAAACATAACTAAGTTTTAATTTTTCGTAAGAAGTTTATTTTTTAAAAATTTTTTTATTTTTTATTTCATTATGGTAGTGAATCTTTTATTCATGAAAATAATTATTTCTAATTTTTTTACTCTCTCGTACATACTAGATTTGAAGAATTCAGAACATTTCCCATAATCTCCTAAATGTTTTCTTATCTTATTGGTTTTCCATTCATTATATGAAACTGTATAAACTTTATCTTTATCTTTACACCTTTCATCACTTCCAATATATTTATATTTCAATTTTGATTTATTGGTTTCATATTCATTAACGTTTAATAATTCACAGTCTTCCTTTTTAAATATGTTTTATGTATTCAGGATTAACAATTTTATAATATTGCTTCCCTTTAAATCTTTGAATATAAACAGGAACACCATCCTCTAAAATTCGATAATCTATTTTATCTGGTTTTACTTGTTGGGTCATTTATGTAAGAATAAAAAAATAAATTATTTTAAAAATAACTTTAATTTTTTTAATGGTTTATAAATCAATATATTTTAATGCATCGTCTATATATAGATGTAACAAAAAAAGTCACAAAACCCATCATATCCTACTACTTCCAATGATTTTTGCATCTTTCAACCCAATATTCATCTTTG